ATCAGAAGCAAGCTTACGGGACGAAACTCCGCCGCCACGAGGCGGAACCTTGGCGGAACCAATCTAGGGCTCCGGCAAAGCTGTTCTGCTGGGGAAACTTCCCTCCGGGAGTGGGAAATCATCACCATCATCATCACCAACGATCCTCTCATCAGGAGGGGGTCAATCTCCATCAACATCTTCACCAACACCATCTCCTCTCAAAATCCTAGTTCATCTCTTGTATCCAATCTTGTATCAAAACCACAAATTGGTACCTGTGGGTTGCTAGTAGTGTTGATTACTCCTTGTAGTTGATGCAAATTGGTTTACTTGGTGGAAGATCATATGTTCAGATCATTAATGCATATTAATACTCCTCTGATCATGAACATGAATATGCTTTGTGAGTAGTTACGTTTGTTCATGAGAACATGGGTGAAGTCTTGCTATTAGTAATCATGTGAATTTGGTCTTCGTTCGATATTTTGATGAGATGTATGTTTTCTCTCCTCTAGTGGTGTTATGTGAACGTTGACTACATGACACTTCACCATTATTTGGGCCTAGAGGAAGGCATTGGGAAGTAATAAGTAGATGATGGGTTGCTAGAGTGACAGAAGCTTAAACCCTAGTTTATGCGTTGCTTCATAAGGGGCTGATTTGGATCCACTAGTTTCATGCTATGGTTAGGTTTACCTTAATACTTTTTTTGTAGTTGCGGATGCTTGCAATAGGGGTAAATCATAAGTGGGATGCTTGTCCAAGGAAGGGCAGTACCCAAGCACCGGTCCACCCACATATCAAATTATCAAAGTACCGAACGCGAATCATATAAGAGTGATGAAAACTAGCTTGACGATAATTCCCATGTGTCCTCGGGAGCGCTTTTCTCATTATAAGAAATTGTCCAGGCTTGTCCTTTTCTATAAAAAGGATTGTGCCACCTTGCTGCACTTTATTTACTTTCATTACTTGTTACCCGTTACAAATTATCTTATCACAAAACTATCTGCTACCTACAATTTCAGTGCTTGCAGAGAATACCTTACTGAAAACCGCTTGTCATTTCCTTCTGCTCCTCGTTGGGTTCGACACTCTTACTTATCGAAAGGACTACGATAGATCCCCTATACTTGTGGGTCATCACTCGTACGTAGGATTCTCGTACATGGGAACGGGCACATCGTAGGTGGTGGCCGCCCCGTATGGCGGCGGGCCGCACCGTAGGGTGCCGACGGCGGGACGGCAGAGGCGGCGGCGGGAGGGCCTGGTGACGCCATTGCTGGTCCGACGGCGGCAATTGGCGTGGTTGGGCGGCAGCAGCAGGAGGCTTCGGTGACGCGGGTGGCAGTGGCTGGAGGCAGTAGCGACGTGCGACTGGCAGGCGGGGCTGGTGGTAGGAGCGACGCGCGGCTGAAGGCGAGTATATGTGATGTACGATGCAACAATGGGAAGGGCGACGCCGTAGTTGACGCGGCGCGGGGCAGGCGTGGACGCGGCGTGAGGATGGAGTTGACGCGGCGCGGGGCTGGCTAGGTTGGCAGCAGCGCGCAACAAGGCGGGTGGCGACATCAGGAAACGAGGCGGGTGGCGACAGCGGGCGAGGCGATTTGCTCAGCGGGTGATCGACTCAGTGGCAGGTGGCGACAGCGGGCGATCGGCTCGATGCAGCGTGGATCGGGGTAGCAAGTGACGCTGGCGACGTGGGGTAGCGTGGGTAGGGGTCGCGGGTGG